AGAGTTTTTACTGCTGTTGCTTACTCGTGCTTGGTCCAACATTTTATAACTGGGAAATGAGTTTAATGTGAACTTTACATAACATTATATTCATGAAAACAAAAGTGTGGCTCACTTGCCGAATGTAGTAAAATACAGGTTGCCCAAATTCTGAGAAATATTTTACGCAGCAGTATTTATCTGATGTAAATGAATTAGACTAAATCAAATAAAATAAATCAGTTCTTGACTTTGTGAATCAAAATCGAAATGAAACATCAGTGCCAATATGCAGCTCTACCCATTAGATTTGTTTTTTGTGTTTTTAATCATGACCAAAATTGTGTGAATGTGGGACATTTTACAATTTAAAAAAATGAATTAGTCAGTGATTAGTCTCTGATAAACAATGGAATGGTGACAATGTTTTTAAATGACCTATCTTTGCCTGTACTGGTCTACTGCTATAAACAATACAACTAAATGTAATCACTATGCCAACAGAAGCAGTACAACAGCTAACATGACCATTCATGAATCAGCAGCCAATGCAAGTGTAAAACGGTGAATGTTCAACTTGTACATGGAGAAAAAATGTTATTTTTTTATGACATTGTATCTAAAGAAATCACATAATATTTAAAGTTAGGTTTGGCTTTCAAAATATTTGTTTCATCAGACTCAAGAAGATTTGACAAATGATATGCAAGAGTCTTTGTGGTCATTACTTGTTGGCATCAGTTAGCAATGTCAGTACAAACTAACATTTATGGAGGACAAAATGCCAATATTGCTGCCAACATTTCTTCCTGCTAATTACAATAGCTGAAAAGCTGGTCCATGCATTTGTTACTTCCAGGCTGGACTACTGTAACTCTTTACTATCAGGATGTCCCAATAATTCCCTAAAAAGCCTCCAGTTAATCCAAAATGCTGCAGCCAGAGTACTGACAGGAACTAGCAAGAGAGATCATATCTCTCCCATATTAGCTTCTCTCCACTGGCTCCCTGTAAAAGTCAGAATAGAATTTAAAATCCTTCTCCTAACATACAAAGCCCTTAATGACAAGGCTCCATCATATCTTAAAGACCTCATAGAGCCTTATCATCCTAACAGAGCACTTCACTCTCAGAGTGCAGGTTTACTTGTGGTTCCTAGAGTCCACAGAAGTGATAAAGCTTATAGTTAGGGCTGGATCAGGTGACCCTCAGCCTTCCCTTAGTTATGCTGCTATAGGCCTAGGCTGCTGGGGGGCCCATGATCCTCTCCTCTCCTCTCCTCTCTCCCGTAGTGTGTCCTCTCTCTCTTCTTCTCCCTTTACCTTTCTGCAGGTTGCCCTGGCTCTGTACACAGATCTGATTACTAAGAAGCCAGTCCTTTAACTGTGTAGAGAAGGGCCAATAAGTAGTGCTACTTCTTAGGTGTTCCGGTATGTTATTCCAGTCCTTAGCCCTTAAATCATCATATAATGTACAATAAAACATAAAGTGTACTTTCTTTTGGCCTCACCTAAATCATATAACAAACCAAATGTTTTCTCTTCAGGGAGAGCAGAGACCTGCTTCTATAGGAACAGTGCCTGGGAGGGACAATGCATATTAATTACATCTCTGAACATATGCCAGAGTTAGCCAGAAAGCACATTTTCAGCCAGCCACACAAAATACCCACAGCTGAGCAGGTGTTTCCAGGACTCATGTGTAGATAATGCGCAATACCAGTAAAACCAGTCTGCTGTGAGATTATTCCATAACATTACAGGCTACTTACTTGTGAAGGCTACAGCCCTTTAGGTCCAACATGTTTAGTCTGATCTGTTCTCAGTCTGGAAGTTGTTTGGTCTTATAACCTACTTTGGACTTAGACTAGGGACAGGTGCTAGAAGAGGGATGAGAGACCATGTGTCACATACTCTCTTCAATCCAACCAAACACTACTTCTGATCACTTACAGTATGACACAGTCATTTAAACAAGGACCTGTTGTGAAGAAGTAGACTAAAAGCTTGAAAGGAATGAGTAAGATTATTTTCAGCCTGCAGCCATGCAACTTGAACAGGATATTCCAGTGCTTGTGGAACTAGTGTGGAAACTAAAAACTGTTGGTGGAATCTCCACACTGTGTCAATACCTGCCTGTTAGTTTGAACTTATGTGGGCTGTGTTAATAATTATTCACTACCAAGCCCAAGGAGAGACAAAGATAAGATCTTTCCAGATTACTGTCAAGTATATTTTACTGCTGCTTCACTGAATGCTTCTTTTTACTTGCATTTGAGAGTGGACACTGCAGACAGAGAAGCGACACTCAAATCACCTTCACACAAATATTTTGCAGACTACATAAGAAACACGGACATCTTTCCACCACGGCACACATTTAGGTTTCATTATTCAGATTAAGGGAGTTTTTCCTCCCCACTGTCACCAAGTGCTTGCTCAAGGGGGATTTGTTGGGTTTTCCCTATGTAATAATATTGATAACAGTAAGGTCTAGATCTTACTTTGTAAAGTGTCCTGAGATGACTTTTGTTGTGATTTGGTGCCATACAAATAAAATTTGATTTGATTTGATTACAGTACTGATGGCTTATAAAATCAAGTCTGTATTATTCCCTTTAACATTTTACATCAATTCATTGCAAGGTCGTCTTATGGCAGCAACTTAGTTTCATTGCTTAATTTCTGCTAAGCACAACTACACTATTTTCTTTAAGAGATCAGACATTTAAAGCCATCATAGGTAATTGTCATGATTCATCTGCACTTGCTGTTTTGAGCTTTTATTTTGATACACGTCCAATGTTATCCTGGTTCTGCCTTCAGCGCTAGCCTTACCTGCCTCAGATAACATACCTACATCACATTTTTGTAAATGGCCAATTAGTATATAAGCCAGTGAGACTGTTGTTTGAGAACTTGATCAAAGACTTTCCTGCACCTGAGTTCCAGGGTTAGCTGTTTTCCCTGTCAGACAATCTTTTTTTAAAGCCTGAACTGACATCTTAAAATAACTCCTGCTGTCTCACTAGTGGCCCCAAACCCAAAGATATTCAGTTTACTGTGATATAAGGCAAAGAAGAGCAACAAATCCTGAGCTGAGAACCTAAAACTATGTAATATTTTGTATTTATTTCGAAAAAATCACTAATGCTTAATTATTATGATCAAGACAGTTTTCATTTAATCTTCTGTTGTTCATCTAATTGATTGATTAATTTATCATTTCAGCCCAAGTGGAAAAAATATAACATTAGCTTCTTTTAGTTCTGCTGCATTTTTGTGTTTATAGTGTTGAATTATCAACAGACAAAAATCTAATTCCAACAAGTGGCAGCAAGCCATGCAGCACATACCAGAACCTGTTTGGTTTATTCGTGGTCTCTGGAGTCACAAAGTATGAGAAAGTAATCAGTCAATGAACATGATTAGTCAAACCTCAAACTAGAGCTCACTTCATAAATAAAAATAGCATAAAAAGGTTATATTATTGGAGGATAGTCACTGTGTGGTCACTACGTTTCACCTAGCTTTTACTGAGGTAAAAATACAAGGAGTATGACAAACTGTGCTTCAATTTCTGAAAAAGCTGTGCCCGGATAAGCTGACATGTATGCCTTACAGTCATTACAGTATTATTTTGAATGCATGTTGCTAATTCAGAACACTTAAGATCACTTCCTTGAAAGGTGCATTAACTAAAGTTTTACACATTGTCTGGTAAATAAAGTGAAAATGGGACAAAACGTGGTGTCTCAGCATTACCTGTCACAGTCCTGTACTTGGTCTGCTTTACTTTAACAATACAAGTGAATTCTGGTCTTAGTCTGGTTGTTTGGTCTCAGTTTGAACCTCACTAAATAAGATATGATGGTCAATAACGTGGCCAAAGAATGCACTGACATCAGATCTATTAATAACTTTATAATAATCAATGTATGTTATATGGTGTCTTCATTGCCTTTGTGCACAGGGCCGAGTACATGTTCTGACTACCTCTGTCACCACAGTCTTATGTCAAACCTAATAAGATGGCAATTACTAAAATTCTGACAGCTAAAAAAAAAATGCTTCTTGGGTTATGTACCTTCTCTTCATGGTCCCGGTAGGCCTGTAATTCAACACTGTGAACACAGATGAACCAAAGTACACCTTTCAGTGTTTGACCATACCAAAGAATGTGTAGAGTACCACCAGCACTTCAGCCACAAACGTTTTGGGAATGGACAGGTGTGTCCTAGCTGACTGCAAGCAACAGGGAACCCTTGAAAACATCCTGTCTGTTCCACAACATAAAAACTTCCATTGGTTTGCAATCCATCCAGGTAATTAATTGACCTGCAATGGCTCATCCACCTGGAACTGAGGTTATAACTGCACACCATGCACAGTCAGTATGCGTGAATATCAGTGTGCACCTTGTGAAGACTAGAGAGAGAGCACGGAGCAATGGTCACACACCTACAAATGGGCTCAAATGCTCTAGTTTGCCACAGGTGGTCAAGATTAAGTGGATCAACCTGTGATGATGTAGCTGGTGTAGATTCTAGTAACATTACTGCTGTTCACGGTGACAGAATGAGAAGGACAGTCTCCTTCATTTCCACTGGTGCATGAATATGTCAGATGCAAAGTGCAAAATGTCTAGTAACAAATCTCACCATTTCCTATTGGCAAACAGTTTTGGCAGATCAAGAGCCAAGACATTTTCTAAATGGTTACTTTATCAATCACAATTTGGTTCATGATACATCATACAGTAAACTTTATTTAATTAAAAACAAATTTCATCATTGAAAAGTTGTGTGTTTATGTTGATAAGACACTGCTTGGTGGATTATTTGCAGGCAAACAGAATTTTCCAGTAAACTCAAACAATTCATATAATGTCCTCAGTCTCATATTGCTAGACGTGATGAGCAACAATATATTCAGTCATTGTGTGTTAATAGGATTCTGAGTAACTAAATGTGGTTTTCTTTACTGGGAACTAGTAACAGATCGTGTGTCCAGTTTGCTTACCCACTTTATCCACTCCGTACTTGTGGCCCGCCACCTGATGTGACAGTGGGACGCAGCCGTTCGGGTGGCCGTGGCCCTGTAGCCCCGGAGGCCGCTGGACACAGTTCTCTATCGCCGTGGGGCCACTGGAGAGCCGCGGGGTCAGATTGACCCCAAGAGCTGAGATGGGTGTTGAGTTGGGGGTCAGTTCCAGTCTCCCGAGAGCTAGAGAGGACTCCATCATCACTTGATGCCGAGTTGTTGACATGTGTATATATTAAAAAGAGGGAAAAGAACGCTTTCGTCGAAAATAAAAAATAAAAATACAAATGAATAATAAAAATGTTTATGATTGTATCGTTTCACATGCTGTGATTACGTAAGAGCAAACTGCAGCCCCGCACACCACTTCATCAAATTGCCTGGGCGTGAGGTTGAGAAGCCTTCATTTAAATGGTCCAGTCCAGACAAAACCGGCACAACAGCCTCGGCTGCATTCGCTGTTTTCGGCCACCGACAACCACGTTGACAGACAGCAGTACTGTCGTAAACCCCGCCGTGTCCGGTGGTGAAGCAGGGCCCCCGAGGCAACGCTGATTCAATGGTTTTCATATCTTGAACAGGAGCATAAATACATACTGGCCACATCCCACTTCCTACCAGTCTCAAACGCAGCACATGCAAACGAAGTATCTGTCCGTGGCTTCCAAAATAAAACGAATGGAGACGTATAGATAATGCAATTTTACCATGATAATTACAAAAATACAAAGCTCTCCTACTAATGACAAAATGTCTGCTTCCTTTCTTTCGTTTTACGGCTCTGCACGATCCAAAACGTCCTTATTCTGACTGAAAACGAACATATTTCGGGCCTTTATTTTGAAGGTTAATTGACCCAACGTCCGGTTTTATCCTTGTCAAACACAGCCAGTCTGAGGCAGCTCCACTTCCTCACTGAAGAAGTAAATAGTGTTGTTTCTCATGAGCCTAATGGTGATGTTACGACACAGTTAAAAGTGAGATCCCCTTCCACACAACAAATACAGAAGCAGGTAGGGCGAATAGAGACAATACATCCTGACATTGCGTGAAGAGAAAATCCAATCCAGGCTTTAACTGATCATGTATCAATACAGCTGTTAAACAATAGACTGTTAAACAAGCCCTTGCTCTCCTCACAATTCAGCAGATAAGAGAGTATAACCGTCATCAAAACCGAGGACTGTGCGCTAAAGATGAGCACGAAAACGATGCAGCGTCGTCCTAATATCCACGGTATTAAAAGAGCTCGACAGCAGAGTCTTCCTCAGCTGTAGATATCCAGGTCAGCGTGGGCGGCAACCTCTCTACTTAAACGAACAGCGCCCAAAGCCTCCAATACATTTCTCACTACTGTCGCAAAAACATATCTAGTCATACCTTTGCGGCAGTGGCAGCACTACATTGCTTTTTATATTTATACAATATTCAAGTCATGGATGTACAGTATTAAAGGAGATTCAAGTAGCTACAAAGCTTTACGACATGTTTCAGTTATGCAATACATACATCCATGTTCAGTGTTAAGAATAAAACAGCACAAAAACACAAACAGACATAATATTATATAAACATTAAGTTAAATGTCAGGGACCTAAGGAGCAGCATAAACAAGTCAAATAGCCTAACTGGGGCTTAACCTTCAATGTTTTACATATATACAAGTTAATGTGTATCCACACAAAATTACCAGAGAATCCTAGTTTTATTTCCACAGCAGCACATTTAAAGTGTGGATGTATATTGCAAGCAATTTTCTTAGTTGATAATCAGCAGCATTAACAAACAGTACAATTAATTGTTAACAATTTATGCAATACAGTGCTCGTTTTCCACAATAAAGGTTTTCAACTCTGTTGCAAAATCAAAGTATCCTAATTTACAAATTTAAAGAATGGATGCAGTAAACAATTAATCTGAATCATATGTTCAACAACAGAAAAAACTGCTTCCGCCACCATCTGTCCAAAGTAGGTTATAAGGCTAAACAACTTTCAGACTGAGAACAGATCAGACTAAACATGTTGGACCTAAAGGGCTGTAGCCTTCACAGGTAAGTAGCCTGTAATGTTATGGAATAATCTCCTCACAGCAGGCTGGTTTTACTGGTATTGTGCATTATCTATATGTGAGTCCTGGAAACACCTGCTCAGCTGGTACAACTCCTTTTCTGTTGAGGCATCTCAAGGTCAAGGTCAAAGGTCAAAGTGTTTATTTGTCATATGCACAGTTAGGAAACGTGTTTCCCTGTACAATGAAATTCTTACTTTGCCGTCCACATGAATGCCAAAAAATACAAATGAAATATAAAGTAGATAAATAAGTAACACAAAATCTAAGGCACTTTAAGCAGCAAATGCAGCAATATGATAAAAATATATGAGTATAATAAGAGAATGTATGCTGCATGGGAGCAGCATGTGCACTAGTCAACAGTCAATGTGCAATTATGCATGTGCAAACTGAGAATGTAAACAGTACAGGTGGACAGTACTTTTTTTTTATTGAAACAAAGTAACACATTAACAAAACAGTACCGAACATGGGAGACAAGAAAACAGATACATGACATTACAAAAGGATATAGAGTGTTTAACGAGGTTGTAGTGTGTGAAGTGTGGGTATTTCCAACTTATGCAGTTTATGAAATGCAAGAAAGGGAAAAGGAAGGGAAGTAAATTAAAAAAATAAATAAATTACCAATAATAATGATGATAACAGTACTATTAAAAAATCATCTTGTTACATTTCTAGAGGTTGGTAGGAATGTGCATGGCCTCAGCCCCAGGTATTTGATTCAAGTTGAAATGTGTTAAAAATGGGT